TATATATATAAAATAAACCCCTCTTTTCTAATTAGATTAATGTGGGAGATGCTACATCTTAGTTGGGAAGATAACCAGCCAAAACGAGCAAATGAGCAAAGGATTTTATAGATTTTTTCACTGTTTTCAAAACCGGACTGGAATCGGACGGTTAGATCGAAAAACCAGCCGTTTCCCCCCAAAACCGGATTTTCTCAAAAAACGTTGATTTTAATCAGCAAACCGCTGAACTGGGCAGTTAACCGTTCGAACGATTTTGACCATTATTTTTTTTTGTTAGAACGGCCGAACAGTCAGACCATTCGACCCAATAATTGGACCCCTGACCGGTTCGGTCTCCGAATCAGTTTTAAAAACCATGGATTTTTTATTTCTTTATATGTTTTTTATTAGGGGCAAAATTGGAAATCATGGTTGATTCCAATTCCAGCCTTTTCATGAATCAAACAACATCAATTGAATCTGATTCCGATTCCTGTCTGAACCAAATAGGTAGGGGGAATAGACCATTCTAGTTCCGATTTCAAGAGATTCCCATTCTGATTCCGGTCACAAACCAAACAGACCCTAAATCTTTTGCCATAGTGTATGTTAACGAAAAGATTAAAAAGACTATTTTACGACCAAGCAAGTTTAAACATTAAACTTGGCCGACCCAGAACCAACAAATTCGATAAGCTTTATCAATGTTTGATGTTCTAGATCTTCATCTACAGTATTCTTATTTGAATCATTGAAGTCAATAACCACGTAGCAAAGGTTCAGATCTTTGTCTCCAGAATTTTGGAACCTGATTCCGTTCTTTGTTGGAACAGGGCCTCCTATCTCTGTTATCGTGTCTCAGTTTCATTCTCCATGTCATTCGTAAGAGAGCCTAAACAAAACTCGGGCAAGTGATTTTCACACCTTTCTTCATAGTAGTCGTCACCAACAACAACACGGGTGAAGACGATCTATAACTCTCAAGAATTTAGTATAAACAGAAACAGATCCTCTGGAACACTAAATGAGTCGTGAGCGCAAACAATGACTAAACCGATCATGAGAGTGAGGCAAAAGCTGAAAAATTGAAAATTTTAATTCAATAAAGATCCATGTTTGATATCCGTTTTAATCCCTTTTCCAAGCCGTAAGAAATAGAAAAATTAGAGTGGATACCCATTTATTCTCTATGGAGTCAACAGTCCAAATAACCAGGTGTGGTGGCCATGCGAAGCTCATAACCCGACATCTAGTAGGCTCAATTGCAT